ACATGCACAGCCACATACAAATGCATATACACAAACATATTCCACATCCACATTCAGATACAATTACAATTACAGATATACCATACACATATTCTCAAGAGCACACACACACACTAATATAACATTACTGCTATGTATTTCATGCGCTCCGCGTTTTTCGTTTTTCAAATTTTTTTAAAATTATTATTCTCCACTACAAAAACGTAGTTTTTAAAAACATTATTTTTTATTTTGAATTTTTGAAACTAGCTTTGTAAATAAAACCTTCTTTTACCACGTACAAACCCCCGAGAAAACGAAATGGTTGATTCTTTTTTTTCCCCGGGGAATTCTAATTGATGGAATTTCTTCACGATAAAGATTTTTTGTTTCTTCGCAAAAATTTCTTACGCGTGTATTGTTATAGGAGGTTTTTTAGCCGATGTCAAATTCATAGACTATCGCTACAGTTGCTTCTCTTGTACCTTATGTTTTTTCTCTATATACTTGTTCTGTATCGTTTTTTGTATTTATTGCTGCAGTTTAATCTTGTTGTACTTTTCATCTTGCCATTAGAAATTTAAAAAAAAAATGTTTTGTTAGAACAGAACTTGTTCACTGTGGTTTTTATAATGTGAATTTAATCACTGGAAATCGGTAGTCCAGTGGTTAGAGAATCGGTCCGGAGGGACTGGGGTTCGATCCTCGACCCCATTAAGACCCAAAGAGTACATGCGTGCTGGTAAAATCTGTGGAATCGAAATTCCTGTGGTCGGTCGCTGAGCACTACCATGGCTGCAGAGATTTCCTTCAGATCTATTGTCTAAATTGCACACAAATGCAGAGGATCAAAATTGTGAAGATATATCTCTCGATCATCATCGGGAATGTTTTGCAGTATCATTGAGCAGCTCTCGTGCGACGTAAATAAAAAGGGGGATCAAAAATTCACCAAAAGAATAAATGAAAAAAAAATTCGCTTTTGTGATACACATCAAAACAAGTTTACAAGGGCAGAAACACGTAACATGGTTTCAAACTTATCTCGATTTTAGATGTGAAGAGATTAAGTTCAAAGACCTCTAATGAAGATTACATGATGTTTGATCATTCACTTGTGATTACATAAAAAGGCTTTTGTAAAGAAAATAAAACCAATGACCTTGTTAAGTTAACATCGTATGACAACTTGTAAAAATGACGATACATTAGTTTTCTTGATTCAGTCATAAATCAAATAGTTCAAATACAATTTTTTGTCTTGTTTTGCTACACACGAAAAACGACGTGTTAAAAGATTCTATGTGCCTTATAATCCAATTTAAAATGACCGACTTTTATAAATTTTTTCAAAGATATAAATTAATTTTTAAAAACGCGTTCTGTCAAAAAAATTTCCTAAAACTACTATGCGAACTTTTTCTTAAAACCTCAATACTATATATTAGCTACTATAACTTTTCTTAAAACCTCGAATCGTAAAATTTTTCGAGAACCGTCCGCTGATTTGTCCTCAAATCATGGTTTAGAAATCTGGTCACCTTAACTATAGGGAGAATTAAAAAAAAAATGTGGGTAATAGTAACCGGAATTGTAACTCGATCTTATGATTAAAATGAAAAATTTCTTACTTTTTCAGTGTTATCTTTCTCATCGTCAGACCCTTCTTGAAGGAGAGTGGACCATAGTTTATTAACATACTGAAGGGCTGATTCAAAGTTTGTTTTCGTAAGTTCAACCTACAGAAAAAAAAATTTTTAGTTTGATTTTTAGGAAAACATCGACAAAACCTACAACAAGAGATGTGATGGATCAGGGGATAGAGCGATCGCCTTATAATGAGGTGACCCGAGTTCGAATCCCAGCGATGATAGTAATTCAGCATGCAGCTCGAAACGGTGCAAACGTAAAATATCCTGAGTGGTGGACGGATCATGGGTCAGACTCCACAAGTACCAAAGTATTTTAAGAAAATAAAATAAATTTGCAACAGCCAACTATTTCATGTATGTTGCATTTCAAACAATGTGGTGGATTTTATGCATCGGCCGCCTTTACTTTCTACACACTATCCTTCAATCTGAAGCTAGGTTTTCTGCAATCCACCAATAAGAATCGTAGTCTTATCGTCACAATGACACGTAGTCTTATCGTCCAATCGTCACAATGACAGCTCCGTTAGTTGTGGTGGCTCAGGGGATAGAGTGCTTGCTTCTCATTGAGGAGACCCGAGTTCGAATCCCTGCAATGACTAGTCAATGCGAATTCCGCACTTGGCTCGCAGCGAGGGCACTGCTGACGTAAAATATCCTCAGTGATAGACGTATCATGAGTTAAAGTTCCCCTGCCGTCAGGCTAACCGTGGGAGGTTGTAGTGGCTACCTCTCCATGCAAAGCGAAAGCGGCTTAGTTCTCCCCGAAGGCAAAATTTCTCCCAATACTTGACCCTGGAGTTCCTTTGTTTTCTGGATTGGGTTTAAAATAAAAAGGTTATGGAGTTGAATAGTGATAGACGCAAACTCAAAATTGGGGCCGTAAAGTGCTCGCACGCAGGTCGTTGGGCTACTAAAGAGGGAAAGAAATTCCCCTTGGCAACGAATCAAAATTATGAAAGGAAACAAAATTATAATGGCCTGTCTTCGAATGAAGACTGTCGCTAATAGCCCATTGTGCAGCTCTAGCGCAACGCAAATAAACAGCTACAACTACTACTACAAGCATATAATGCGCTTCCTGTTTAGATGGGAAAAAACACTGCGTTGTAAATTATATTTGAGATTTTAAAAGTATGACATGAGGTACGAGTTTCAACCCAAGTTCTGATAATAAATAAATAAAGATGTTTCTTACGACTGTGAAGGGGTAAATGACGAAGAGATCTACGCTCTTCTCTTGAAGGTATTCAACTTTTAAAATGGCTGATTTGTAAGTTCGTTGTTGGACTGTTTTTGTGAGATGTTGTATGCGCTTCAATGGGGAGTGCTCCTCTTCATCTTTCTTCTCTCCATTGACCAGCTTTTCATCTGCAAAATCAACAAAAAGAATAAAACATTGAGTAGCCCCTATAATTTCATGTTCGTTCACGCGTTTTCAAACACAGAGTGTTTCAAAATGACCACCCTTAATATGATACGATAATTACTTTTAGGAGTGCTGCAGTGGGGCAGTCCATTAAGGTATTGCTCATATTACTGGTTCGATCCTGGCAGCCGGCTAAACAATAGGTGTGTATATGCAGCAACAGGTCGTGGCTGAAAGCCCTCTCGCTGTTTGTGGCGTGGAAGTTTGGAAAGTGGGTACCAGCTCAGGTGCTATCTACGCCGTCTAACCGAGGTAAAAGTTACTGTTAAAAGGGTATAGGCCCCGGACAAACGGAGCCCAATGCTTGTCCATGGTTGGGTGGTGTGTAATCGAGCGTCCTTGTCAAAACGTTTGCGCATTGGGGGTCGTAAATTGACATTTTAGTCAGGAAAAAACATTAATTTAGCGAGGGACTTCTGATATGTGTATTATTTTGACCACTAAAAAGATTCTAAAAATATGTAGATTAAAAATGGTCATGGAGGTCATTTACTGCGTATTAAGTAAGTTAAAAAAATTACATGGACTTAGTGATTGAAAGCAATGAATTAATGTTTTTTAAACGGTATAAATATATTTATTTTTAAAAAAAAATCTTTTTCTCAAACAAAGAGTTTCTGCTTTTTGTTTCAAATTATTTGTAAGTATTTCTTAAAATAGAAGATAGTTTTTGTAATGAAAGCTATTTTATAGTAATAGAGAGTAACATTTCAAAAGTAACGCATTTTTCGTAGCAATTTTTTTAATAATAAATGTTTTTTTTGTAAATTTCTAACAGACTTTAAAATTTAAACAAAAGAAAAAAACTTTTAAACTTTTTTTGTTTGGCCGTTTTCTAATTAGTAGATTAATCTTTCCCAACATGCATAAACATCAGTGATTTATCACTTCACTCGAAATATTTGCTTTTTTACGGAAATTGCTTCTTTTCTCACGTTTTTTTCTCGAATTTCAGTTTTTATCACGATAAATCGATTGCTTTGGAATTAATTCCATACTTATCTATCAACAGCACAAGTTTTTCGACATTTGTACCCAAATAAGTTTTTTTCTTCTTTCCAAATCACATTCTGTTTACCCCAGTTTCTGTTATCGAAAGGTGAATACACTTTCTAGATGTTTTGTACCCTTGAACTGAAACTAGTCTAGAGGGAGAAGCTCTAATTTAGGAAGAAGATTGTGATTAAAACCACAAATAATCGATAAGACACGATATTTGTTTCAGTAAGTCAAAACCTTGAACCTTGTTTGAAGATAAAAAGAATCTTTTCAATTTAAAAGTCACATTGGCAGCAGTAACCGTTTTATCATTCAGAAATGACTAACGGTCTGGATTATCAACGAGTTTAGAACTATTCACATCAAGTTTTGCTAAATTTAAGCAGAATGAATGCGAATAAGCCCTTTCGCATGTGTGAGAGGCAAAGTATAACAAGCCTATTAAATAAGTAAAAATATGAATAAACATTTTAAATAAATAAAAATTTGAATAAGCATATCGGCCAACATGGATAGGAAACATTCCAGTAGATTTTACCAAATAATATAAATTTCATGATAATTGTCGCATGACGTAAATATTTTACAGATAAGGAATTTAAGGGATTTTTATAGTCATCAGAAGAGAAAAATTTCAATATTTTCCAGTCATGATTGACATTAAATGAACTTGAAATGTTATATATTAAGTTTACTCTTAATTTTGAATAATAATACGCTTTTTATTCATCATAGATTGTTCAAAGATTTTTTTAATTAATTTAAAAAGGGATTTCTGAATAAAAATACATTTTTGAACAATAAAGTTTCTAACATTACAAACTGCACTTTTTTTTAACAAAAAAGTTTTTAACCGATTTCTGTAAATGTGACTTATGTATTAGTAATACGTATTTAAATATTCAAGCAAGCAAAACTCAGTGAAAAAATGCTATTTCAATAGGGATTCCTTCAGGAAAGTGACTCAATTTTAGGAAATTTTCTAAAATGTACAAATAGAATTTTTATTAAAGCAGTAGATCAAGAGAAACGGACACACTCCCTTAGAGTTGGAAGCTATGAATAAGTAAAAATGTTAAGTATTAAGGATAAGTGTGAATAAGCATTAAATGAGTAAAAATGTGAATGCGCATCCATAAATAAGCCCTCTCGTGTCCATGGCGAGTGTAAATTACAATCTAAATTACAATCTAAATTTCGACCACTTTCCTACTAGCTAAAGCACTCAAATCACTATAAGAGCCTTATACCTAATACCAATGCCAATTTCAATCATTTCCGGCTTCTAAAAACAGAATTAATCATCATTTTATCCCAAAATAGAATGTAGCGTCCATTAAAGTTCAAACCACTTCCCGACTAAATAGAGATCTTAAATCCCTAATGGAGTTTCTTTTCTTCTTCTAACTAGTAGGACATGATATCCTATGTATAGGACATTCGAGAAAATCTCCTCAACTGCGTTCCCGGAAAAATTGCCTTCGATCCTGACTCAACAGCCCTCCGGCTAATTTAATTTTTTTTTTAAATAAAAAATACCTAAAGAGGGAAATATATATATTGGGGTGGAAAAAAGTAATTTTGGTTTTTTAATTTAAAATAAAACTCAATTTCTTCTATACAAAATATGAAGGTTCATCAGTCAAATATCTTCCATTTTGTTCAATGACCCTTTGCCTTCTTTCTTTATGAACTCGCGCTAATCCTCCCCAACAAAAAGCTTAAACAAGAACTATTTGAGGTCATCGTAATAACTGAAATTTTCACCCTTCACTGACGCTCACCAACCCCGATGCTTGTTTCGCAATAATTGCTGTTTCTTGGCACAGGACAATTGAAATTATTCAACTAAAAAGATTGTCACTCCCCTTCTCACGTCCAAATATTTCTCTTACGATACTATTGAGATCTATTAATCAACATAAATCATTTTTAAAAGTAATCATTTTATGAAATAACATTTAAAATTAAAACTATATTTTTATAATAAATTTGATGAGTTCACAACTGCAATTTAATATTTCTGCTTACTAAACGAACGGATGTATATTTTAAATACAATTTTTTGCGCACATCACTCTTTGTGCATGAAAAATCAAGTTCCAAATCATTTAACGAATCTCCTTAGCCGCAATTCATAATATTGTGTTAATGTAATTTGCAACAAAAAAATAAGAATTGTAAAACGGTCAATAAGATTAGATGCCCATTTAAATAACTTTATCACAAAATGTAACGTCGAATTACATTACTTTAATAATAACTAAATCGAAAACGTAATATTAACAGTACAGGTAAATACTTTCAAATGAGGCATGCAAAAATAATGATAGGAAAATGATATCTTCATGACTTATATAAATTTTATTCTGATGACAACCAAACCAATATGAAAATGAATGTAGACAAACTGAATCCTACCATGTGATTTTCCGGCCAATAAAAATGCTCTGACAACAATGGAAAACTGCGAAATCATCATTAGATTTTTATGTATAGTTAGAAATTTTTTTCGTCTTTTGAAATAAATGATAATCCGATGTCGGGGCTGGATGGGGTATGCGACATCAATTACCAACCAAGCACCCATAATTTCGTACTTGCTGCTAAAGATATACAAGTCTTCATATTGTCGTAGTGGAATACGATTTGCAATCCCCCTATAGCTTCGATCTCGCACAATCGAATCATCTATAATTTGTCTACGGTAAGAACTCTCCCACTGCAAAGTCTGAGGGCGCCTGCTGCTATGGAAACAAGAATAGCGCATTTCAGGGAGGGTAGCTTCTCTTCACTCTAAGGCTAACACAATAGACCGATGAAAAATATTCCCTTTCTCATGCCGACCCGACACAAAACCTGCCCTAAACAGTGATCCCACACCCCTACTTGAAATATATATACCTCAGTACCATAGTCATCGCCACGGGTCCAAACAAATGGCTAGGGGAGTTCTTACTTTAGACAAACTATACTTGACACCCTAATAATGTAAACAATAACTACCAAATTCTTGTATAAGGTGATATGTTTCTTTACCAGTCGCTAAAAATATGGACTCATTAAATTATTTTCTACTTGGAATAAGTCATTCTCATTTAATAGCTTAATGCAAATAAATTGAAACTTTATATACGTCATAATAACGTCATGCGAATAAAATGAAACGTCATGTTGTTTCCGAATCCCGTTTATCTAGACCGGCGCTTCCCAAATGGTGTTCCGCGAAACAGCAGGGTTCCGTACAAGAGTGAAAAAAGTTTTGAAACCTCTCTGACTGATATTTCATAATTTATTTAATCTTTCGGTTCTCTTTCTTCAAGTAAAATGCTAATGAAACATAAAATATTGTTTCTCTAATAACAAAAGTACAAAACCAGTTATGGAAAGTGCAATTTTGAAGTAAGCCATCATTCAGCTTATTTCATTTCCACAGGCGAGACAGACTCTTTTAAGTTTTATTTAGTATCTTATGATAAATTCTTAAGGAGTAGGTTTCCCTTATCAGTTCCCTTATCTAGGTTTCCCTTTAAGTTTTGTTTCCCCTATATACATAATTCCCATTATCTAACATAATTTTTTTAGTAACTATTGAACTGTTTTTTAAAATTAAAAAAAAAACATCCTAAATGTATTTTTGCTTGTAATTAAAGCTTTAGAAAAGAAAAATTATAAAAGGGACGCTGATGTATTATCTGCGTCAAAGGCTGACAAAAATTGTCGAAAAAAGATTTTCAGACCCCCGAGATAATAATGTCGTCAAAAGACTTCTAGAACGACAAAACAAAGTAATTTACCTTTTGTTGGCGGTAGGTAGTGATCCACATAGTTCTGTGTCACCACAAGGACACCGTCGACAGTTGAGAGGACAGATTGCACCATTCGTTCACCAAAAATGGAGGTCGCCTGCTTCAGTCCGTAATCGGCAGCGGTCCTCGCCTTTTGGGAGAGTTCAATATTTATTTGAATGAAGATAGAAAGTAAATAATGAAAATGTAAAATGAAAAAATCTATCTTCATGCAAGCAATTCATGTGAGTAAAAAAATAAAATAAATACACTTATGAAGCTTCTGAGTGACAGTAATATTTTTAAATCCTACTAAAGGTTATCAATAAAAAAAACGACTAATTTTCCTTTTAAAACCCTAACATTTGGTCTATTAGTTCAGTGGAGAAATGAAGGTTAGCCAACCATAATGTTAAGGAGATCTACCAAAAATACGCCCCCCAATGGTTTATCGATCACTGGTTTGGATTTATGTAAAATTGACCATAAGAAATCATGACACCATTTCTTTTGTATTCATTTAATATTCTGATATTTTTGAGCTGCGGTTGCTCAGGGGATAGAGCTTTCATCTTCCAATGAGGTGAATCGGGTTCGAATCCCAGCGATGGTGGGTTGATTCGAATTCCACGTTCGGCTCGTAGAGACCACAGTACTGACGTTAATTATTCTCAGTGGTAGACGGATCATGGATCAGAGTCCCCGTGCGGTCAGGGTAACCTTGGGAGATTTTCGTGGTTTTCTTCTCCATGTAACGCAAATGCAGGCTAGTTCCCTCAAAAAGTTCACCAAAGGCAAAAATTTCTCCCGATTCTTGATTCAGGAGTTCCTTTGTTTCCTGAATTGGGTTCAAAACTACAAGTCTACAGAGTTGAACATTAGTAGTCGTAAACCCAAAACTAGGGTCGGCTGTTCAACGACGGTTATAAAATATTCTGATTTTTTAAAAAAAAATAGAGTCGTGGTGGCTCTAGGAATAGAGCTTTCACCATCCCGAATTCTGCTCCCGGCTCGCATAGACCACAGTGCTGACGTAAAATATCATCTTCATTGGTAGACGGATCATCGGTTAGAACCCGCTTGCTGTCGGACTAACCATGATACGCTTATGGGTTTCCTCTCCAAGTATGGCAAATGCTGGTTACTTCCAACAAAAGTCCTCTGCGAAGGTCAGTTTGTCCCAATGCTTGATCCATTATTTCACTTGTCTTCTGGATTGGGTTCACATTTACAAGGCTACGGAGTTGAACATTGAGAGTCGTAAACTCAGAATTAGGTCGACTGTTCAACGCCGGTTATGAAATAAAATAAGAGATTTAAAAAAATTGGAAATGATTTTCCTTTTAAATTTAGACGTTGAAACACAATCATAGAAGAGCATTAAAAAGTTTAAATCACGATCTGCTAAAATCATGACACTTCGACCCATCATTTTGAACCAGTCATTAATACATATTGTATGAAATCGAACTTCGAACCTGCATCAAATTCAATTATTCTATATTTGTAAGGAAAGATTTGAATGTTACGTTAGGTTACACTTTACCTAAATAAACATAATGAGAGTTACTTTTTTTTTTATATTGACTTAAAAATAAATCTGAAACATCTTAAAATATATGCGTTTTTCTTCCAGAATTCCTCTACTACTATTTTTGGAATGAGGAAAATGTGAAAACAAACGCTTAAAATTGCTAAATGACAATCAAATAATTGATCAGATGAATAATAAAAAGAGGAAACTGATTATTTATTGGATCTGATAATTTAAAAATGTGTAGTTAATTTTTGTTTTGTTTTTACAAATGGCATTCAACAGGTGATCTTTGTTTAAGGAAATAAAACTTTTTTCCTTCATCTGACACTGGAAAGTTCTTTCAAAAACAAGCTAAAACAAACATTTAATCTGCAATCATATGATGCTTTCTTAAATTTTTTTCATAATTTTTAAGTTTTTTTTCCTCCAACGTTAAAGTGTATTTTCTGCGTAGTTTCTTTAAAATTAATATAGGCCTAATAATTGAGTATTTTTTATAACATATTTAATATCTACGCATATTTTAGAGTTAAGACATTCAAAAATTTTTCGTTAAGAGGAGGATTAATACATAGAATTCGATCATGTGAAAGATTGTCGAAAAATTGAAATTAAAGAAAAATTATACGAAAGCAAAATTTAAGAATTATTCTTGGTAAAATTATGATTTGTTTTATAAAATACAAATGCAAAATGTAGAGGAGATGGACAAAATAATGGAAACATTTCTATACTAATAAATTTTTTTTCCTTCATATTTCTCAAGAAATACTTAAAGAATCATTTTATAACTTCAGAAGTGGATTAGATCATGCGATTTCTCATACTTTATCGATGAAGTTTAAAGCTTTTAGAGGTTTAATAGACCGACAATAAATTACAAAATAAAACAGTATTTTTGAACACCCTATGTCAAAAAAAGTAGAAATAATTTTGTAACTTATAGCAATTATTTTGGTTACTATATGCGCTAATTGCACAAAACTTCGTAAGCCTAGCTTAAAGATATATGGAGCTGTGGACATTTTTTATAAAAACAAATTCAAATCAAACAAAATTTTTGGAGCAATTTAAAATAAGTTGCGAAATTATTGCTTCGAAGTTCGAGAAAAATTGGCTTAAAAATGAGCAAGATTTGAGTCATTAAAGTGATTATTTTATAATGCATATGCGTGGGAAAAATTTTAATTTCTATTCCTAATTACGTAGAGAATCATGTTTCGCAACTAATAAGAATAATCCAATTTCAATATTTTAAAAACTTAAAAAGTTTCAATAACTTTTCTGAGTAGATTTTGTACTTTTTAAAAAACACTCAAAATGATACGGAGTTTTCTACAGATATTATTTTGTATCATAAGACAAATTTAAATAACAAATGCTTTACAATAAATGTTCATGCACCGACATAAGATTGTATAAGGAAAGAAAACAGGCAAAAGAATGGGGGGATGATCTCCAACAATGTCGGTGTGTCATTTTTGAATAAATCTTGTTTAATAATACAAAATGAAATTTGTGAAAAAACCTTTATCATTTTGAGTTTCTTTTCAAAGTTCAAAAACTACTCAGAAAATTGCTTGAAACTTTTTAAATTTTTAAGATATTCAAATCGGACTTTATTTATTAGTTGCCATGATACGATTCACGACAAAGTTATAAAAAAAACCGTATAAAAGAACTACTTTAATGACTCATATCTTGCACAGTTTTATATCAATTTTTCTCAAATTTTAGAGCAATAATTTTCTAATTAATGTTAATTGCCTTAAAGAATTTTGTTTAATTTTATTAAATATTTTTAAAGTTACAGCAAGGAAGAAAAAAAACATCAGACAAAAAAAATTAGTTTTTTATAAAAATGTCCATATCTTCATTAAATATTTAAGCTAGGTTTACGAAATTTCGTGCGATTATTTCATATAATAACCAAAAAAATTGCTACAAGTTACAAATTTATTGTTACATTTTTTTGGCATGAATTGTTTTCCATTTGCAATTTATTGTCCTTCCAACCGTTGAAAGCTTTGAACTTGATGAGAAATAGCATGATCTAAATACTTCTAAAGTTATAAAATGATTTTTCAAGTATTTCTTGAGAAATATAAAAGAATGTATTAGTATAGAAGTGTTTACATTAATTTGTCCACCCACTGCATGTACTAATGAAAATTGGCAAAATATTTACAAATCATTATTAGAAATAAAATTTAGTATGATAAGCTTCGAAACAAGACTTGTTACAAAGACCTACCTAACAAATTCGCGCTACTTTGCAAATTTATTTTGTCGATTTCAGTTTAAATTTCTATTTTTTTTAAGCAACAAACAAAACACATCTTGAAAAGAGGGCACAAAAAGCAGTGAAGATGCTTGCACATTTCACAGAAATATGTACAACTAACACAATCTGTTAATCGAGATCTGAATGAACAATTGAACACGACAGATGAAACCATGAACGGGAAAAGAGCGAGTTACCAGTTCAATAGACAATAAAAATGTATACTCGCGGAAATCGCGGGTTGAGTAATTCTGATTAAAACAAACTTACGCAGTTTGAAATAAAAGAAGATTTTATTTATAGTTAGGTAACGAAAGTATAATTCGATGTCAAAAAAAGTTAATAAAATTTTCAGGTATTGCGACGTATAAACATTGTTCTTTTCTGATGATATATCACGGTATTCAGGTTATGACAGTTCAAGTATATGTCTAAAAATAACTTACAGTGTCGGTGCCGACCTTCTTGATACCTTCTAATCGGGAATAAACAGTATCGGTGTATAATTTCCTCGTGTCGCTAATAATCTGAAAAGTGTGGAGAAAAAAATCAATGAGTACGATGCTATGTATGATTTAGTAAAACATCTTATATTGTATTATGCAGGATGTGTAAGAACTATCTCACCATTTGACCAATACCACCTATAATAAGTAAATAGGTATATAACCATTGATAATTGTAATGCATTAAATAATTCCAACGATATTTTTTTAAGATAGTTCTATTTTCATGGGCTTATATCACGTACAGACTTTTAATTTGTTTCTTTATAGTTTTTATGATTTGTTTACAGTTTTCCTATTAAAGGAAACTCAAAGGTTGATAGAAATATAAGGTTTGTTGTTTTATTCTTAAGAAATATACATAGCATGCAAAATTGTGACCCCTGTCCTACTAGCTAGAGCATCTCCTAAATCTCATCCGAAGCTCTGTGACCTATGACAATGCAAGTCTTAAAAGTTCAAATATAGTCACTCGGAATTTTGACTACTTTCCGACTGGCTAGAAATCTCACATTTTTTTCAGAGCTGTACTTAATGCCAATTCAAGTTAAAATTGTTTTTTGAACGCTAAATGAAAAATGTATCGTCAATTAATTTTTCTGAAGCGTCGTCCTATCAATGGCTAAAAAAAAATTCTCTCCAAAGGTCAAATTATTTCACCACTAAAATAAACAACGATTTATGCAAATGGAATAAAGATAAAAAAGTCCGACTCGTGCTTTGTTCTACGTTCGTTATCATCTGAAGGGAAACTTCAGATGATAATAGTATGTAATTGCGATATA